GGTCACGACCCATACGAGTGAGTAGAAAAGGGAAGGGAAAGAGGCCTTGGTGAACGTCGTAATTAGTGAACAAGGTATTGATGAAACTTAAACCTGTTCTGATATTACATTGAATTGTGTTACCACTTTATCTAAGAGGCTAGACTGTTCGAGATATTACATATATTTTGAAATTTGAACCAAGAAATCTTTGTTGTAGACTTTATAGGAGAGAAAAGAGGCATTCGTCAGGGGAGGAAGGCCAACCGAGTGAAGCTCTTCTTTCTTTTTTTTTTTGGTTGTGTCGTGAAGTAAAATTGTATCGTATGTTAGTTTGAGAGGTTGGTGAGCTATTACGATTTATAGATTTTCCATATATATCCAATCCTAACGAGAATAGAAACAAGTCGCTTCCTGCCTGTCTTGTAGTCATAATGTTGTAGTTTATGTAGCCGTTGGCCTTCCTACACGAATGAATCTGCCACATGCCTCCTTGTTTGGGAAAAAGCAAAGCAGATAGTGAAGAACAGACCTTTCGGAACCAATTTGCAGTATCATACTGCATATCTTTTGACAATTTCTGCAACTTGTGTCTAGCTATTACTGCAATATGCTGTGTCTTACCAAATTGAGTTTGTAGTACATAATCTAGCATCTATATGAAGAATTAGAACTTCTTCATATAGCATATATATATAGAGAGAGAGATAGAGAGAAAAAAAGTGGATTTCTGTATGGCATTGCTTCACTTACTAATTGTCCATTTTCCTTGAAGCAGTAAATGTTTATTGCCAGTTGATGCTCCATTGAAAGCGATATTATTTGATATTGATGGAACGTTATGTGATTCGGATCCTATACACTACTATGCCTTTCGAGAAATGCTTCAAGAGGTAGTATTGCCTTCACCTTCTGCTACAATCAGTTCCAACTCTGTACAATGAAATCAAGTAGATAGTTTATTTAACTAAAAATTTTCATTTCAAACAGATAGGTTTCAATGGTGGAGCACCTATAAGTGAGGAATTCTTCGTAAAGAATATTAGCGGTATGCACAATGATGAACTCTGTCATGTACTCTTCCTGGATTGGGAGTTCGAAAGAGCTGTCAAATTTATGGATGATAAGGAAGACATGTTTAGAAGGTAAGCTACTGCATCATCATCAACTAGTTCAATCAAACTGAAGTATATATATAAAGGGTAGCCCAGTGCATAAAGCATCTCATGTTAGCAGGGTCCGCGGAAGCGTGCACCCAAAGGGTGGAATGTAGACAGCCTATCATAATGCAAGCATTAGTGGCTGCTTCCACGGCTCGAACGTGTGACCGATAGATCACATGGAGACAACTTTACAATTGCTACAAGGCTTCCCTTCAAACTGAAGTATATATATGTCATAACAAATAGCATCAGATTTCCCAGTATATGACTGATAAATAGCATGATTCAGATCAGAATCTGTTTCAATTGCATAACTTGGCGCGTAGGCCAATATCTACGAGTTCTATTTTCTTTTACATTAAATAAGGTAGATTTGCTTGCTATAATGTTTTGAAGCCGATCATAACAACATTTCTGTGATAATCCACAGAATTGCATCGGAACAGCTAAAACCATTGAATGGGCTTGAGGAGGTATGCAAATGGATTGAGGACCGCGGTCTGAAACGAGCAGCTGTTACTAATGCTCCAAGACCGAACGCTGAGCTGATTATCTCAATGCTAGGCCTTTCAGATTTCTTTGAACTTCTTATCATCGGAAGTGAATGTGAACGAGCAAAACCTTTTCCAGACCCTTACTTGAAGGCTCTTCAAGAACTAGGAGTATCTCCTAAGCACGCGTTTGTTTTTGAGGTTTGGAATACACATAGAAATCTTATGGTAAACGTGCATAAACGAAAACTGTTGGAGAACAACAATATGTTTTTAACATTTTCGTTGTCCCTTTTTCCTCTTGAACAGGATTCTATTTCTGGAATAAAAGCTGGAGTTGCAGCTGGAATGCCGGTTGTAGGTTTAGGTCTAAGGAACCCCGAAAAATTACTTTCAGAGGCTGGGGCAACATTTGTTATCAAGGATTTCAACGATTCGAAGTTATGGACAGCTCTAGAAGAGTTGGAACCAGAAATTCATGCATGAAAAAGATCAAAACATGAGTCGGAAACTGGTGATGTACAAATCTATCATCATCTTTAGTATGATCTGGCTTCACACCTCTCGCCTATCGGAACACCAATACAATCTTGAAAGAAGTAGGTTTGTTATATGATCAGCGTAAAGGTTATTCTTTTCCTTAAAACTAATTTGATTGAACATCTAAACAAACTTCAAAGTGGTTTGTTGTATGTCCACTATGATCTACCCATTTTTATGTGATGCTCTTTCTTTTTTAAGTTTGTTCCAAACAAACGACATATTTCTATACTCTAGCATATTGGTACTTTTTGTATGTGTCAAAAGTCTTTATTTCTTAAACCAGGGGCGGACCCACATGGTGTCCGCCGCCGGGTGCTCGAGCACCCATTAATTTCGTTACTAAATATATATATCTATGTAGAAATTGATAGGTATTTGTATAAAATTAACATAGAACATCCAATTAATAAATCATATAGTTGGCCCAATGGTTCTAGGGTGGATACTTAAGACTCTTTTAACCTTGTTGTACCAAGGTTCCACCACTATCTTAAACACCATACAAAATGAAATGTTATCGTATATAATGAAAAGATTAGAGTATTTTTTTCTTATTCTAGTTGAGCATTTTTATAGCAAAATTATTAGGCATAATATATAAAATCCTAGATCCACCACTATCTTAAACACCATACAAAATGAAATGTTATTGTATATAATGAAAAGAATAGTATTTTTTCTTATTCTAGTTGAGCATTTTTATAGCAAAATATTAGGCATAATATATAAACAGACGCTTAAACTTGGCCTCAGCTGACAAGTAAACTCTCCAACTTTGAATATACACATCAAAACATCTCAATTCGTCTCTACTGTGAAATTTAACACTCTGATAAAATAGATTATTTAAACATCTCCAAAATTTATGGACCGTATTAGATATTCAAGAGACACAGTGGGAACGAGATGGAGACATAAATCTGAGCCAAAAAAATAAAAATAAAAATAAAAATCGTATTCCTCTGTCGTATATTTCGGTTGCAACATACTTAAATTCACTTATCATTTCATTTGATTTGGAGAGTTGCTCAACTAACTTGTTAAAAATATTATTATTATTATTATTATAGAAAAACAAAAATGATATAAAATTTTGAAATAAATCTTATTTTTTTATTCTGTGTTTGATATTTGTGTTGGGATGTCAATTATATTGAGTCTAATTTGCACTGCTTAAGGGAATTTAAAAGAAAGAAATATTTTCTATTAAAAAAATAATTTAGATACGAACCTAAAATTTTTAATTAAAAGCAAAATATTTTTATCCTGTTCATCAAAACACTCAATAGTGTTGCCCTCCTAATCTAGAAATGTGTACTCGTCATGAAGACATTATTCGTAAAATACGAGAAGATTATATTAAACAATAACTATTACTAATGTTAATTATTTTTTTGCACAGATGGACTTCATAATTATGTGGAATTTGATGACTTGTAGTAGCTAGTAATTGTGTTATTAGTATTTCTTTTTTAAAAAATAGTGTTATGATTTTCAAATAATTTATAATCATTAAAATGATAGTTTTATGTCAAATTAATGGGTTTCTTTTTATACAGTATTAAAACTAGTAGGTATAAATCATGTTTTATGTTGTGTGTGGTTTTTTTTTTTTTTACTGTTTTTAAAAAGTAAATATATTTCAAAACTATGACCAAATACATGTTAAACTTCATTCAAATCCAATTTTACAAAAATATTCAGAAATTTATGACCAAATGCTAGCTTAATGTCTGCTTTTACTCCATGGATATTCTGATTTGCAAATCCCTATTTGATGTGATTGTATATTAACTAAAAATAATATTACTTTTCTTTTATGGTATTTTGATTAGATATGAAATTTATGAATATAAAAAAAGATTTTAAAATTATGGTATAAATGAATTATAACTATTTATATGATTATAAATTATATTATTAAGGATAAAACAAAAAAATTTAAAGATTGATTATTTTAAAAAGTATATCATTAGTTTTTTAACTAATTAAAAAAGAAAATAATATCATATATATAAATATATATATATATATATATATATAAATTTGAATAAACAGATAATACTACTAATATTTAGCTCATTTACTTAAAAGAAGTCCTAAACAAAAAACATCAAATTAGAAATACTGTTATAAATCGTGATTCTTTTTATCTTAATATTGTAACATTTTTTAAAATAATGATCAAAATTTACATAATTTAACTCTTTAAAAGTGAAACTTAACAAGTACTTTAAAACAGAGGGAGTAATAGAAACGGTAAGTGAAAGAGGTGAAGTAACAAGCTGGGTAACTTAATTCACTATTACCTAAAAAAAAGTTGTGGTTATTTACAGGGCAGATTTGTTGGGCTAATTTTGATGCACGTGAATTTACGAGATCTCTTTGTAGAGTTAAATATTTTATGTATATATTTTTTTTATTGGTATATTAATATTATCTACTCGCACTAATGGTTGAACGGGTGCATTTAATTGAGTGTTGAGTTATTTATCTAAAAATATGAAAAGATTAATTCCCACTTTATATAATTTTCTCCTTTTATTTAAGTGCTACACTTAGTATTCTAAAAATCATAAATTCATCTCTTATTATTTAGGTTGATTGCTCAACCCTATAAATAACCATAAATTAGTGTTTGTTCCATTATAGTATGCTGGATCGTTAAGTCATGTCATCTACCATTCAAATGAATATAAATAGTAATGCTATATTTCCTACGTAATCGATTGTGGTGCGTAATAGTTTTAAGGACATTTTTGACCCTGTATATACCACTACTATATATTCACCATGCCATTTAGCAACCCATAACAAAGATCAGCAAATACTAGCAAAAGTTTATCATCATCATATATACATATATTTGTTACAATTGTAGCACACAGAGTTGTTAATGGAGGCCAAGAAAAACACCATTAGTGTACTTATGTTACCATGGCTAGCCCATGGTCACATTAATCCATACCTAGAGCTAGCCAAGAAGCTTGCAAATAGAAACTTGCACATTTACATTTGTTCCACTCCTGTATGTCTAAGCTCAATCAAGAAAAGAGTTACACAGGAGTATTCTCAGTCAATAGATTTAGTTGATTTTCATCTTCCTTCATTGCCAAATCTTCCTCCTCATTACCATACTACCAATGGCCTTCCACCCCATCTCATGACAACTCTCAAAAGTACTTTTGAAATGAGCACTCCAAACTTTTCTAAGATATTACAAACTCTACAGCCAGACTTGGTCATTTATGACTTCAATCTGCCGTGGGCTGCTGACTGCGCCTCCTCTGTGAACATTCCTGCTGTGCTGTTCCTCACTTTTGGTGCAGCCGTGATTGCTTTGGGCATCCACGTGTGTGATAGGCCAGAGGAAATGTTCCCCTTTACTGAATTTTACCTGCATGAACAAGAAATACTTTCATTGAAGAATACTGTCCCTGGTTGGAAGTTCCCATTCGATGAGGGTCTTAGGCGATCACAGGACATTGTTCTGATAAAAACCTGCAGAGGTTTCGAAGGGAAATATATTGATTATCTTTCAAGTTTAGTCTTCAAGAAAATAGTCCCAGTTGGTACACTAGTTCAAGAATCCACCAACAAAGATGACAGTGAGGATATCATGCAATGGCTTGACAAGAAACATAGAGGTTCAGCTGTCTTTGTTTCATTTGGGAGTGAGTATTTTCTATCAAAGGAAGAAATTCATGAAGTAGCTCAAGGACTCGAGCTTAGCAAAGTGAACTTCATTTGGGTCATCAGGTTTCCACAAGGTGAAAGAACTAAAATTCGAGATGCATTACCAGAAGGGTTTCTTGAGCGGGTAGGAGAAAGAGGAATAATTTTTGAAGGATGGGCTCCTCAAGCAACAATTCTTCAACACACAAGCATTGGAGGGTTCGTGAGCCACTGTGGATGGAGTTCTTTCATGGAAAGCATGAAATGTGGTGTGCCCATAATTGCCATGCCTATGCAGGCTGACCAACCAATGAACGCTAAGCTTGTAGAGTATATTGGGATGGGAATGGAGGTAGTGAGGGAAGAAAGAGGGAAACTACAAAGTGAAGAGATTGCAAAGGCGATAAGGAAGGTGGTAGTGGAGAAAGGTGGGGAAGTGATGAGGAAGAAAGCTAAGGAACTGAGTGAATATATGAATGTAATAGGGGATGAAGAGATAGATGGTGTGGTGGAAGAGCTGTTGGCACTTTGTAAAAACAAATGATCAGCAATAAAATTTAAGAGTTATGACCATTACTCCTCAAATGTAATTTAACTGGTTGTATTTACAGATCATTTATCCTCTTTTATGTTTTATCATGGTACCTTCCCGATCTTTTCAACTACCAGTGTAGGATTTTGTTAACACACCCAACAATCTCCCATTAAATGAAGTTCCATGTGGCCCATTACAATAATCCACAGTTCTCCTTGAACTAAGTTCACATGCCCATTACCAATGATTGATGGGTCAAATTTTAAGATTAACAATCTGCTACCCACATGACTGACCATTTATGGTCAACAAAGCCCGGAAAGAGCTTCTACTTGTGCGTGTTTGTCTCAAAGCTACCTTTGGTATGGTAAAGTTAACATATCGAGCCCCACAGCATCACTCCACCATCTCCATAATCATATTGTCAAATCATTGGTTCTGATATTAGTTATTGGACTAAACTAGCTGAAAGATATTCTTAACATGGTGTGATATTGTCTGCTTCAGACCAATCCCATGATATTGTCTGCTTCAGGCCAATCCCACATGGTTTTCTCTGAGAAGTTTCACGCTAGTAAGAGTATATCTACACCTTATATGTAGCTTCCCCATCTTTTCAACTACCAATGTAGGATTTGTTTGCACATTCAACAACCAGGTTTATATAAATCCTTTTACTTCCTAGATGGATAAATGACTTGTTCCAGACCAGTAAGAATAAAGACCGAAATGCCACTGTTGCATTTAGTATCTCTCGAAATTACAAAATAGCAAAACTTGCAAATTAACACATGGAAGGATCAATTACCTTATGGATCGATACATAAAGGAGCTTTCACCAACTTGATCTATGATAACACCTCACTTCTTCTTGCATCCTAGAAAAGTTTATCTTAGTGTGTTTCTCCATTTTCTAGCAAACAATGGATAGATGCTAATGCCCTCCTTCCATGGAAGTTTGTGCATCAATGTGAAAAATGGAAATGGAAGAGAATGATCTGTACACAGAAGGCATTCGAGGATCAACACATTGAGCACTAAATTTTCAAGGTAAATTGCTAGTCATAAAAAAATGTGATGAATTGTAATCAATTTAGAGAAATTACTAGAAAAGGATGCCAAATGTATTCACTTACAGCAGCTCCATTAGCTTTAAAGTTTTCAATTTAGTCTTTAGTACCCCAACCTAGAAGAACAGAAGTACTTCCATTAGAAAACTCATGTAGGAATCATCTGTCATCTATCCAATCCATACATTAGTCTTTGTTGTGAATAAATGATGCAAGTATCTATGTTGCTCGGACTCTTCAAATGTGCCAACGGGTGTGTGTCGGATTTGCCAGAAGTAGTGTATGTTTGGAGAAACCGAGACGGGTGCGGCATCAAAAGTGAAGAGTCTGCGCAACTAAGGCAAGTACTACATTGGCTTGTTAGAAATGCCCACTGCCAAGATTATAGACTTCACTTGGCCATACCCAGGTTGTGGTTAACACACAAGAAATCCTTTTGCCCACAAAGCATACTGTTGTCTCAACTAAGCCTCTGATCCATCAGGAAATTTATATGAACTGGTCCAGCATCAAAACTTCAATGTTGTCTCCTGAAGAAGAATACAGATATATCTTTTCACAAGTGATTGCATGATTGGCAATCTCTTGTATTGGGGCTTTTCTGGTCTTCAAGTCATTTTTAGCCTCTCAAAATTGCGATCTTGATAGTATCTGATTAACACGAGTACAAATGTGCCCAAGGAATCATTACTTGATATTCTCAATTGTTGAAAAAGAATCTAGGAAGCTGCATTTCCATATCCAGCAAAGCCAATATTGTACTTATTTCCTCTGTGTGTGGATGCCACTTGTCTCCTGAAACAAACATATGAAATTCTGTTCCAACCTGAATCCAACTACATCCAGGTCTCTTCCTAAGACCCTTTTTCTTCATCAAATCCCTCAGTTTTGAGACTTCATCCCATCTTCCAGTTGTTGCATATGCATTTGAAAGTGACACATAGTGTCCTGAATTGTCCGGTTCCATCTTAATTAAACAATTAGCGATATGCTCCTCGAGTTCTGTCTCTCTGAGTTCTCTACAAGCAACGAGCAGTGATTCAAAAACATTTGCATCAGGTTTGAAAGGCATACTTTGAATGAGCTGCATAGCTTCATCGAGATCACCACACCTAGAGAGAAGAGAGATCATACAACCATAATGTTCCACTCTCGGCTCCATATGATACAGAGAGAGCATGTCATAAAAAACGTCTAAGCCTTCTTTTACCAGTCCAGCATGACAACAAGAGGATAGCACACTGGTGAAGGTTATGTTGTCTGGTTCCACGCCTTCCTTGCAGAGACGTTTGAACAATGCAAGTGCTTCAATAGCACGGCCATGTAAAGCATAACCAGATATCATAGCATTATACAAGGCCAACTCCTTTTCTGGAATCAAATCGAAAATGCATTTTGCACAATTTACACTTCCACATTTAGTATACATATCAACTAATGAAGTTGCTACTGGAAGAGATAATGGAATCTTTTGCCTTAAAATGTATCCATGAATGGCTCTTCCGTCGTGCAGTGACGCCATATTTGTAGAAGCTGAGAGGGCAGCAACAATACTTGCATTATTTGGTCGATACCCTGCTTGAAGCAGTTGTTTAAAATATGCAAGTGCCTCACTGTTGTGACCATTTTGTGATAGACCACTGACAAGAGTAGTATAAGTAACCGTGTTAGGGTCTAAACCAACAGTTTTCATTTGTGTAAACATGTCTATGGCCTCATTTATCTGTCCATTTCTTAAGAATCCAAGAATTACAGAATTCCAAGATATGGTATTTTGTTGTAAACCATAAAGCTGCATTTGGTAAAATAATCTTAATGACTCACCACTTAAACCCACTTCTGCATAAGCAGCCAATAATGTATTCCACAAGACTAGATCTTTCTCCAATGTGTAGTCAAAAACCCGTCTTGCATCTGGGATTTTATCACATTTGGAGTACATATTTATAATACCACTTGCTACAACTATGTCATTCTCAAAATTGTTTCTGATACAAAAACAATGCCCTTCTCTGCCAAGTTTCAAATCTCTTAATTCTGCTGAGGCAGATAATATTGTTGATAGTGTCACGGAGTCAAATCTAAAACCCTTTAGTCTCATCCAACGGGACAAGTTGAGAGCTTTGTCAATTTTACCAGATTGTACATAACAAGACATTAGCAAGTTCCACGTTACTACATCTTTCTCAAACAGCCTATCAAATATTAGTTCAGCATCATTAACCAAACCAACTTTAGCATAAAAGTTTATAAGTGAGCTTCCCAATATGTTATTCAAATCTAAACCACTTACTATAGATATAGCATGGCCTTGCTTACCTTCTTGTAGAGCACATAAATTGGCTGAAGCTGAAAGAAAACTCGACAGAGTTACATGAGTTGGTTCAATTTCTTCAGTTCTCATATCATAGAAGACTCCAATAGCTTCCTCATTGAATCCATTTTGCATATAACTCACGATAAGCGAATTCCATGCAACTACATTTCTTTCACACATACAATCAAACACCTTCCGTGCATCATCCAAAACCCCACATTTCCCATACATATCAATAAGACTACTAGCCACAAATACACAATCTTCATAACTCAATTTCAGGACATGCCCATGTACACATTTCCCAAATTCAACAACATTCAAAGCACCACAAGCTTTCAATACATTTGGGAGGACAAAATTGTCACCAAGAATCCCATTTTCAAGCATCTCAATGTATTTCAACAACGCCTCTTTAGACAAATTCATCCTACAATGCAGTCCAATAATTGCAGCCCAAGAAAACACATTCTGTTTTCTCAGTCTGCAAAACAAATGATTGGAAACATCAAAAACATCACATTTTGCATAAAAAATCACAAGCTTTGTCTCAATGTACTCATTCTTGGCAAAAAAATCACCCCTTTTTAGAATCTTGGCATGAATTTGCTTACCCAATTTCTGGTTTCTCTCATAGACACAGCCTTGGAGGAGTTCACCATAGAACTCAGGTCCAACATATAAATTCCCATACTCCATTTCCTTAAGAAAGTCCACAGCTTCTTGAAGTTTACTCTCTTTGCACAGAGACCCAAGGAGCTTGAAGTAGTGAGATTTATTGAGAAATTTCTCGTTTGTGCCATCTAAATGGGTCTGTGGGGATTTCTGAAATGAACTGGGTTTAGAGGTGCCAGGGCCAGGGGTGTAAGGATTGAAGGTTGGGTTGATGGGCAGTGAAGCCATGCTTAATTCTATAGTTTTGAAGAAGAATAGTGTAATATGGATATGTGTGTGATCATTGTGGCCTTACAAACAAGCTAGGGGTGTTTGGTTCATTTTACCATTTACAAAAAGAGTACAAATTTCTTTTGTTTTTTCCACACTTTCGAAAAGGAAAAATATATTCTGGACTATCGTAAACAATATGCATATACTCTTTGTTATATTTTTGAGATATGTATGTTTTTGTCATTCAAAAAGTAGATCATATATGTCATTTACTTTAACGGGAGATTAAATAGGGACACGTGATTTTATTTTATCCGTCGATTTGATGTTTAATAAATATCGAGTTTGGATAGATTATGACACATGTATGTCCGTTAGTATAAAAAGTATATAATATTTTAGTTTTTGAACGGCAGGGACATCAATGTCTCAAAAGTATAACGGAGGCTATCTGTATACCATTTGCGCTAGTTTGAGAGTATATTTGTCCCTTTTTCCTTCTAGAAATGGATGTACGAGGAGAAAATTATTGAGCGGAATATTGTATATTCAACAAGAAAGTGAAAATTCAGATGATCATTCAATTGAGTTATTAAAATTTGTTTTCCCCTCACTTTTATCCGCTGAGATCATTTCTATTTGTATGTTTAGCTTAGAAAATTTATTATTTTCTTGTCATATTAATTGTCAAGGTTATTAAAACGATTGTCTCACGAGGTTAACAAGGCAATAAAACCAAATTTTTTATTTATACAGAATTCATGTATATTTGTGTTTTGGTTAGCCTAAAATCACAGATATCCTACGTAATTCTTATTGATATCAAATA